TACACAAGCTCTAAAGAAGAAATATCCATCTTCTTTCTAACTGGCCATCAGAGCATTTTACTCATTTTTGATCATGAGAACACTATTTATACCCAGAAAACATGTCTAGTTAGCTTCAAGTGCTGTGTTGAAAAAGATGTAAGAGAGAAACTGTGTGTTTGAATTCAAAACATCATAGGAATCACTGGCAAAGTATAAAATGAAAAACAGGTCTCTGAAATGCCCAGAGCCAGCTGCTACTGTCCAGAGTCTGGCTCTTTCCAAGACAGCAGCAGATCTTCATGAGCCACAGCTTAAGTGGGGATGTCATCTCCTAAGGAAAGGGTCGACAACATTTTTCTGTACAGAGCCAGACAGTAAATATTTTAGACTTTGCAGGCCATACAGTCTCTGTAGAAACTATTCAACTCTGCCTTGTAGCACCAAAGCAGCCACAGACAACACACCTAAATGAATGAAAGTGGCTGAGAGCCAATAAAACTTTAATGTCATATTATTTTCACATGATATTTCATAAGATATTTTTATTTTGAGATTTTCAACCATTTAAAAATGTAAAAGCTATCATTAGCTCACAGGCCATGCAAAAACAGGTAGCTGTTTTTGGCCTGCTGGATTTTATGGCCCAAGGGCCATAGTTTGCCACACTGGCCTAGGACCAAATTTTCCTTCAGCCTGTGCGTAACCCTTTCCCTTCCATTTACATAAACCTGCAAGTTATGTGCTTTACCTTTTAGCAAAGCATTCCTTTTGCTTTTCTAAGTTACTGATGTCTAATGTCTATTTCTTTCCTCCAGGTACCAAAAGTCTAACAGAACAATCATGAGGTCAAGACAGACAAGGAGAACAGCCTGAAGAAGAGGGAGGGCACAAGCCCCTCTTCTATTGCTTTCCAGCTTTGTGATCTTGTACAAGTTATGTAACCACTCCTAATCTCCATTTTTATAAAGAAAGGATTATAGTACCCAACCACCTGCAAGTAATAATAAAGGTGCCACTTTACATCAAGTAAGGCAGTTAGAGGCGGAAATATAACCTGTGGACAAGAGTTGCCAACCTCAGTTCAAAAACATGGCCTTGCCTGACATTTCATGGGTAAGTTGCTGGGTCATGGTAGTATATGGATCCCCAAGTAGAGAAAGGAAGCTCAGTGAATTTAGCTAAAGTCTTGAGAAAAAGAACAACAAGCAATCTCATTGACTGAATTCCACTTTTCATAATTCTCAGAGTAGGCCAAAAACTGAACAAACAAATTGAGAATATCTTTGAGGCAAAAGAACAGGGTAGACACCGTGAAGAGCATAAAAATGAACATAACTCAGTCCTTCACTTCAAAGAATTTATAACTTATGAAACATAAACACCTATAATACAAAGCAGGTATAATTTGTATAAACCAACTGTATTAAGAAGTTAGAAAGAGAGCCAAAAGAAGGATAGTAAGGGAAAGAACTTCCTAGGAGTTAGACTGAAACAATGAACAGGATTTCAAGAACAGGCAGACACACAGATTTGAGAGTACTGTTGGTGCATAAATCTAAAATTGCAGTTCATGTGGATTCTCAGTTCTACTCGATAACTACCCAATTGTTCTCCAAAGATGTGCTTCCATCAACTGAGTTCCCATCCTCTCAATAATCAGTATTATCAGAATTTATTTTTAAAATGCTTTGACCCGTGTAATGGATAGAAAAGCATGGCTCAATTTAATTTTCACTTTTGGTCCTCACATTCCCCAGAGTTGTTTTGTATGGCTGTTTTCCTATTATGAAATAAAAGGTGTAATCTGTCTAAGGATGATATGTCGTTCTGTGTGGCTGGAGCCCAGGACACAGAAAGTGCGCAGAGGACAAGCTTCTCTCTCTTCCTTCCAGTGGTTTTTCCAGGACCTTGCTCTTTTCCTCTCCACCCCATAAATTGCTGGTTTACATCAGTAGATAGGGACAAACTATTCCTTTCCTCCTTGAATGTACCACAGTAAATTAAAGAGTTTATAAATGAACATAGTTGAAAAATACTAGTTTTGACAGAAACAGCTGAAACCATTTCCTTCATTTTTGCCCAAAACTTGGTTTCTGCCCAGTTTAGATCATAAAAAAGTCAAGGTGCCTCAAAAAGCACACACAGTTTTGATGCATGTCTGAAGACCTGGTGCCAAAGACCTGGCAGGAATACATCCACTCCCTCCCTCTCTCGAGACAGAAAGTACAGGAAAGATCAATCAGGGTATGAACAACTTATTGACACTGATTAGGAGGGTTCTGTCTATGAAAGCTCCCATACGGATATAATTTTCAGGTACAATTCCTATAAATGATTCTTGGAGAAAATGAGTATTTTTAACTGAAATCTTATTCAGATTGTTTCCATGCTAAGAATAAAGCGGCAACCAAAAAGGAATCAACACAGCACACAGCAGAATTCTTAGCAAATGGAACAAAAAGCCCTGTTCTCAACTCTGGTTAACACATAGTACCAAAGCTAGGAAAAACTATACTCCAAAAACTGATGTATGTGATTTAAATAGCACATTTTCTACTACACTGGAAAAACAGAAAATCATTAAAAATATTTGTTTTAAAAAAACAGTTGCTGTTATCATTCCAGTAACACTGTAATGCCCCATTGCCTCAAATACATATATTTGTCTAAGCCAGTGATTCTCAACCCTGGGCAACTTTGCCCCTCAGCGGACATTTGGCTACTTTTCGTTTTGAGACTTTCTTCGTCCTCACATAAGGAGGGGGTTGCTGCTGGCATCTAGTGGGTAGAAGCCAAGGATACTGCTAAATATCCTACAATGCATGGGATAGTCCCCAACAACAAAGTATCCGGCTCAAAACATCAATAGGGCAAGAAATTTTATCTAATCCATTTCCTCTTGGCTAGCTGGGACATGTTGCAAATATGTGGAATTAGAGATGATAAGAACTGTCCTTAAAGACCTCCCATTAAGCTAGGCAACTTAGAGTCCTAAAAAAGAGCTTGATATTTATATAGAGACATAAATAAGTTTCCATTTAGTAGTTTTCAGTTGTAATATTTAAGAGATAAAATAGACCACAGTCCATGATTCTGGCCACATTATCAGGCAGTGTGCCTTCTACATTTATGAGCTTATCACATAACCTGTGAGAACATCTACCTACACAGAAGTTTGCAATCAAACTGGCTACTGCTGGCTCCACCTATTACAAATTAATATTTTCCCATATTTAGGACATAACTGAATTCCCCATACCCAGGTACCAAAAGTGACCAGTCCTCAGATCTCAACAATGGGAGTTACATGGTTTTTCCTGAGGAAAACATTCATATCTGAAATTCCCTTTCTCTGATGTTAGAATCCATTAAAAGCTTACTGTCCACCACTAAGAGTGAGAAAGGCAGTTGATTTGGACTATAAACGTGGAAGCAGCTACAAAGGTACGCCTTCTATAAAAAGTGAGGGGTGTTGGTAATGAAGTGGAATAAAATATACAAAGGCTAGGTAGGGCCGGCCCGTGGCTCACTTGGGAGAGTGCGGTGCTGATAACACCAAGGCCAAGGGTTCGGATCCCATATAGGGATGGCCGGTTAGCTCACACAGTAGAGCGTGGTGCTGACAACACCAAGTCAAGGGTTAAGATCCCCTTAAAAAAAATACACACACACAGGCTGAAGAGGCCCCTCTAAGTATAACAAAGCCCTTAGAAGTAATTTTATTTCCCAATAAAAGTTTCCTTGGGTGTTTCAACAAAGACAGACATTCTTCTGGGGAATTTTTTTTTTCTCCATTTCCAAGTTTGTTGAATGCATTTACTTGTCTATTTTCTAGATATTAGGCTAAAAGAAATATTTTTACATTAGGAAAAAGTATAGCTTAAATTTATAAGAATCACACGGGTTCCGAAATCCATTTTTAATCCATCACATATACCTGACAGAAAGAAAAGCATCCTATGACAAAAATCCATCTGAATGCCTAAGTTTCTCAAGCTAACAAAGCAAGCACTGTTTGGCAGGAATGTAGATAGATGAGAGTTCAGCCCGGTGAAGCTTTCCGAAACACTTAAAAGATGAGACAAAACTACTGCTACACGGATTAGTTTTACTCTATACCAAATGTCACCTAATGAATGCAACCCTGCCTGAAACAGAAATTTCCGTCTTCAGTCTTAAGCTCAAGCACAAAAGCACCCTATTAAGGGAAAAACAATGGTGCCAAAACTTAAGGGGGAAAAAAAAGTACTGTACATCACAAAGCCATTTAAATGCAAGATCCAATTTCAGAGAGTTGAGTACAAAGAGCACAAAAGTGGAAAACTCCAAGGATTTCTCATGTGCGGCAAATAACAGCAAAGTATGTTTAGACACAAGCGGTGAGACTCTTTAATTTGGGTAAATGGAAAAAGTTTTGTTTTACACGAACTTGACTATTGGCTGCAGTTCCAGCTTCTGGAAACAAGAAACGGCATGGGCTTAAGAGCAGGGAGCGGAGCGGAGAAGCCGTGTGTCCACAGCTTTCCCTGCAAGCCCCGGGGGAGGAAGCGCGCCTGGAGGCGCCGGGCAGCAGGCGGCCGTCCGGGGACACCGCGGGTTCTGAGCCTTGACTTTGGCAAGAGGCAGGTGTTACCGGCTGCTTCCTGGGGCGCTAGAAGGAATGTGTCACCACCCATCCGAAAGTACACTGAGCCCGTGTTTAGGTCACAGACGGAGTACTGCCTGGTCCCTCACGGATAAATCATGCCTTTCCTCCCGGAAAAGAGGAAGGAGAGTGCAGGAAAGGTGTGGGGCCAACGACCTGCAAGACCCAAAGGCAGCCCTAATTCGTTGTGAAGGAAAACTGGACGCGAGGCGGCTGACGGAGAACTCCAGGCGCGACCGTGCAGGCACCCGCACGCGGCCACCGGGACCAGCCCCGCCCCACCGCAGCCCTGGGCTGACCCCGGCGGTCCCGGGAAGAGGGACAGGCCCCCGCCGCTCACCTGGCAGGCCCCGCGCGGACCAGGGGTGCTCACCTGTGGGGATGCCAGAGGGCTTTTCCGAGTCCGCAGCCAGGCAGGGACGCCAGGGGCGGGGGACGAGCGCTAGTAGCAGCGGCAGCAGCAGCCTCCCCGCTCGCCATCCCATCTTGCGCCCCTCGAGGGCCGCGAGGCTCCTGCACCCAGCCGCCCGCAGCAACGCACTTCTCGCGAGAGCTCGGGACTCCCGGCTGCGCGGGGCCGGACGCCGGGCGGAGAGCGAGCCG